TTTAAAATAGGTGATAGTGCTTTGAGCAAATATATTACGAGGCAACAAATATCGATAAATATTATATCATATCTTACTTATATATTTAAATGATAAATTTATCTTCATTGCGCAATTCAAAATTTTTTTGATGCAAATTGAAAATTACAATGACTACAGTTACATGAAATTCATCAACGGTTTAAAAAAATTAAATAATTGAATTGATAAGCAGTTGAATTTTTAGCAACCTCATAGAATAAAAATATATTTGACTTAAAAAATATATTTCTGTAACTACGTTGCCAGATTATAAAATATAATAGAGGATAGAGTGAATAAAGGAGAAATATGATAATTTCGATAGAGATGAACAATGAAATAAATTATCTCAAGAAACTGATTCGGTATGATATTATCTGAATAAAAACTTCATTCATTACAAAAAGATATAAGTAGGAAATAACAGTTGACATGTTTCAAGCTCTCAAAAACAGGCACCCTTTTCGTGTCCAAGATTTTGTGTATAAATTTAGTTTCGACAATACCAATATTATTTCCACCCCAGTCACATCAGCTCATCTTGATGACTTGGGATTTTGTTTTATTCTCATGAATGCTGATTTCCTTGTTAACGACAATTCTTCACTACCTCTCCATGGCACGTGGAAATGCATTTTACCCTGATTTGCCACGACGGTTTTTCTTGTTCGTTATTTCATGCTTTTTTTTCTTCTTCTCCCGGCTACCGTTGTTTTTTACGTTTTGCTTCTCACCTATATTTTTTCCATTTTTTCGTTGGCAACTTCATGTTTTAATATTTCAAATCACTTTAGTTTCTTCTTATTCACGTGTGACAAGTCTTGAAAAAGGGAGCCTTTTGTGCGTTTGAAACATGTCGACTGATGTGTCTTACCTATATATTTTTGAAGAAAGGGAAAGTTTTAAGTTTCATTTAGAAATTTTTGATTGTATTGTACTGAGTGTAACATTTTAATGATGTAAGGGCTGGAAATTGTTACACTGTATTAACAAACTTATATTTAATAAAAAAATTTACGGAATTACTGGAAAATATTAATATTAACGCACACTGCCACATACATATATGCATCCTATTATACACTCTATATTCTGTACATTGACTTTCTATTCACCAATTTTCGTTTCAATCGGACAACTCCTTCTTGGTGCGTCGATTTTTTTGTTATAGAGTGTAGAAAGATTCTTAACGGAATATTTTGAAACTAGAAAACTAATATAAATGATACAGAGAATTCACTTGTATATTTTTTTAATTAATTTTTCGAATAAACCAAATAAATTTAGGAATTTATGCACGTTCAATAATTCAATCAAACTAGGCTTAAAAACGTTCAAATTTGATGAGTAGTGACCGGTTTTTTTGATGTCCTAAAAATGCTCTTAAACAAAGCAAATTGTCTTTCAAAATGACCTATTAAAGCAAAAATAATACATTGAAGCAATGTTTTCCTGTTTAAAATCACTTTCATTCACATCGAAATATGTAAAGCAATGCACTATGTTAATTGAACTCTGAAATTTATGTTAAAAGATAACAAAAAAAGTAAAATAAAACGTAAAATGTTTGTCGAAACTGTTTTCTTAAGATCATAACTCTTTTTTTTTGACCAATAAAAACTTAACTTTTAACCATCATGAGCTTCAGTCGATTAAAGTGCAACTCAGACTCCTAAATCCTGTTTCTAACTCAAGAATCTCTTACAAAAACATCGAACGAAAGGGAAAAGGTTTAGAGCAGCCGCATCCTTGCCAAAAAACCAGAGGCAAGGTTGAAGACCTTCCATAGGAAGGGCAGACTTATAAATAACGTCGTAAGAAAAAAAAAATTTAATCCGAAAGAAAAAAAGAACCAGCAGTGAGAATCCGTAACTTGACCCAGAGAGGAAATATGGAAAAAGTGGAGCGTGGAGACTAGCAGGTCCCGACTGGTTGGTTCGTAAAGGTAGATGAAGAGTTGATAAGTAATCTGAGTTACGATTTGAAGGGCGCAAAAATTATTCTTTATCAATTATAACTGTTTTTGAGAGATTGGTCCGGCACACACACGAAAAAAAATTGAGATTTACTGTCAATTGTAAAAAAAATTATGTGTTTATTTAAATTAAAAAGCGAGAAAGTTTATTTTTATTTTTTTTTTCCCTTATGACTTTTTCAACTTAAAGAATTACTAAAAGTTAAATCTTAATAACTACAAAAAATGACGGTATGAAATTTGGGATACCATTTGTTTTGGGATATTTTTGAAATTCTTACCGCAAATTCTGAATAATCAAATTGAAAAATTATCCTTTAGGTTTTGATACAAAATTTTTTAAAAAAAGTTTCATTTTTAAACTTAATTTTTTTAAAAAGTTGATAATAAATTATGTTAAGGAAATTTATATTCAATATATAAATGAAAAATTGATAAATTTTGAAGCATAATATTTGCTAATACATAAAAAAAACTAAATGCGTTATATTTTATTTATATTTTTTAGTCATTTTAATATATTTTTAGAACATTTTATAGATTTGTGATAATAGGTGCATTTTATTATAATTTCAGAATATATTATAATAGATTTACAAAACAATTACGGAGATTATAAAATTTATCATGTTATAGAACAGCAAAAGAGTTAAATTAGATGCATGCATTTTTAAAATAGTTTCAAACATTTTTCCACTTTTTTTAAAAAAAAAAATTTAAATTTTTTTTTTCTTTTTCCTTTTTTTTTCCAATATGGATTTTATACAATTAATTACCATTATAAGTTTCATATTTTAAATTCATCCATATCCTTCTATTTTATTAAAATTATTATTTATCGTTGCATGGTTTTATGAATAACTGATATGCTTATTAGATAAATGCAGCAAAATTAAACACTAAAGATTTAATCTGACATTTGTTTACATGAAACTAATAATTCTTCTAAAAGCATTAATATCATTGTTTACAAAAGGCTTATTAAATTTAAAAAATTTCAAATTCGAACACGAAATACGCTGATGCTGGAAGTTCATTCAGTAATTAGTCGCCGATGGTGACCAGCTTGGTCACCTTTCAAACTTATCTCGTACAATATGCAAATTTTAATGGTAACTAAGTCAAATGCACAGCACAATTGTATAGAAATATTCTAATTCTTTTACCCCTTTTTCAATACTAACACCTTAATTAGTTTTAAACAATATATTAACTAAATTGTTCCTTCACAATCTATAAGAAATTTTTTTATGATACTTTAAATAATTAGAGTCAACTTTATGTGTTGTGTATTGGTTCTCAGCTTTCACAATTAGTCACAGATTTATTTTTAGTGAACCACAATTACATAAAGGCTAAATTTATATTTCAAAAAGTAAATGCTTTAGAAAAAAAAATATTTTACGCATATTTTAATATCAATATCTTATAAATTTCCAAAAAGCATCAAAACTAGGTTACTTAAAAAATTGACTATACCGAAACATTTTTTAATTGTGCCTACTTTCGACGAATTAATTATCTAGAATGATACAGTGTCATAAACTAAGTCTGACGCTAAAGCTAGAAGGAAAAAGATCTCTAAGGTACACAAAAACAGGCTTTTATTTTATCTGAAATAAAGAGCTTGATAGACTCTTTTACATAAAAAATAAATGAATTTTGACTCCTTAAAATTTAATAATTGCTATTATTTAGTTCAGTTCACTGTTTGGAAATTCGTATAATAAGCATATACCCTTTCAAATAAGGAGCTTCTTAAAACTTTTGCACATTTAATAATGAGTTTTGTATATTTAGTTTTTGAAACATATAATGATTCGATATTATAGGAGTATGAATTTCAGTACAATACCAAATGAACTTAATAGCTTACTACAGAACTATACGCTACTTATTAAATCTATGGTAAACCACTGAGGAAACTAAGTAAATTTTGTTCAGTACTATCTCAAGTTTTCAACGATTAAACTAAAGAAATTATTTGTAATATTTATTTAAAAAATAAAATAATCTAACTTAGTAAGAGAAAATTAATTCAACTTTATTCCATACAATCGCTGCCAATTTTAAATCTCAACAAATATAAATTAACACAAATTGTATAAATCTAAAAGATATAATAATAGTAATAAATTTCATCTCAATACAATCGCAAACTTCCTACTTTAACCCTTGACACAGAGGGAACACACGTGTCCCTTTAATGTATTTTTTTCCTGAAGCTCTTATTACCAGCAAAAATAAATTGTGGTCTTTTTAAATTATTATAAAACAGACTAAAATAGTTATTAAAAAAACTGTTAAGTTATCGGCGTTATATTTGTATTAAAACATAAAATCCAAAAAAAGTAGTTAGAAAAAGAATTTTTTTTTTCATTCATATTCAAAAATTTATCAATAGCTGACTTTGTAAATTAAAAAAAATTTGAACGATGAATAACTGTTTTTCTTAGATCTAAACAACTGCAAATAAGAGCGAATTCTTTTTGTTTGGAGGCGAGTCGTGTTTTTAAGATATCTTTAACTCAGAAAAAGACACCGGTGTTTCATACAGCATTTCATAACTGTAGATTATTAAAATGCTAAATGTAATATTTTTCGCTTATTTTGACCAAAATTAATACAAAATAATTAAAAAGTATGAAAAATGTTTTAAAAAAAAATTCTACGTCATAGGGCTAAAGCTCAACACATAAAATTATCAGGGGGACCGGAAAGTAATGTCATTTCGGTGCATTTGATTTTTGCTATCAAGATTTTATTTTTAATCAATAATGTATTCGCTCTTGTTAGCAACAACCTTTAAATGCCGGATAGAAAAAAATGAATTGGTTTTTAGACTAACGAATATTTAATGCGCTGAAGTGCCATTACTTTCCGGTCCCCCTATTAGTATAGGTCTATATGTAGGATAAATAACTCAAACCGCAAGCAGGAAACAAATTCAATTTGAAAAAAATATGGAAACAGTGATATTCGAAACTTAAAATCTTTAACTTACCTCTCAGACTTCTTGTGATGCTTTTGAGACTTTCCATGACTTTTTTTAGTCATAACATATATGGGTTCCCTCAAAGGATCAGGATCGCAGAACAACGGAGTTCTGTTCTCACATTTCTGGTGGTATCTCAACCAAACAAATCGATCCAACGAGCTTGTTCTTCGCACAAGTTTCGTACCACTGCGTCTCTTAAGTTCAGATCTAGATCGCGACGAAATCTTATCCAAGTCGTGAAGAAGTGTCGTCGACAAGTGGTGTTTTGAAACACTCTTTGACTTTGTTTTTACCTCTCCGTTTACCCATTCTTGCCGATAGCACAGCGCTAAGTTATCCTGATAACATTCCACTGGAGCGTCAGTCACCAGCAAGTCCCTCCAAGAAGACTTCGATGACTTTTGGGACGAGCTGGACGATTCCAGATCATCAGTAATCGAAAAATGCACTTTCTTTACTGGTACAACTGGGGGAGTGACCGCTTGGACGTTACAATCCACATCGTCTTCGAGAGAATCATAATCGGGAGTCGGTGTCTTTGGTGGTGAAGGTGACATCGACCCAACACCAGAATCGGTTTGGGCTAAGACATTGCTTTGGGTGCAAGAGGTATCCTTTTCTTTGAGTTCGTCAACATTTGATGGAAGAACAATGACAAGGCTGTATTTGTTGAGTTTAGATGAAGGTTGCGTCGAGTCAACAGAATCCACCTTGCTTCTATCCCAAATACAGCTAGAGTCAATATCTACAGCGGATGGCATTTGCTTCGAACGGAACTGAGAGCTATTGCGGTAATCCTCGCCAAACCATGAACCTGACGTAGAATCGCATTTGGTTCTACTCATTGTTTAGATTACGTAAGAGGTTTCATATCAAAGTAAATTTGTATAGCAAAAGGATATTACTCTATTTCGAACTTTTTCCGGGTTTTAGTCTCCTTTCCTTCTAAAGCAAACCTTTTTAGTAGAAATCTTCTGTTTTCATTTCACAAACACTTTTTATCTAAAGTTTTCATTCATATCTCTAAGTTAAACACAAATGAAAGTTCAATCAATCGTCACTGACTGCGTATCGTAATTCTCTTTAAGCTAAAATAAATAGAAGTTGCGGAACTGTTTTTGGAGAGATAAGTTGAGCTACTAAATGACAACAAAATAAAATATCATTTTCTCAACTTTTTATGCTGATCGTTTGCATTTGATAAGTAAACAAATTCTCCAATTTTTTTTCTCACATGAAACTGCACAATATATCGTCAATTTTCTCAATAAAAATTACAGAAAAAGTTTTTCAAAAAATTCCAAATACGGATCCGCTGGTCTTCTAAATCAAACAAAAATCAGAATCGAATTACAGTTGGGAATAAAAATTCTAAAATTATCGTTTGGCACACATAAAACATAATGCACGATTATTCACCATTTATTTTTGACACACTAGCATAGTGGACAACTTCAACGACATGCAATAATATCCAGATGAAAACAAACACACACTGACTCAGAATGACAACAATCCGCGACTACGGCCAGCTGAAACATCTGACGAGGCTTCACTGATGCCAGAATACAATTTCTTATTTTCCTTCTCTCTGAACTTCCAATAACTAGTTGCAGTTCTTTTTTCACGAGGAAACCATGATAGATAGGTCACACAAATCTATCAGGTGGAACTAGCTCTCGAGTTAGTAGTGTCTGGTAGAACTCGAAATGAAGTTTTGGCGCAATATTCGACGCAGAGAGAAGTTCGGAAACTACAAGTCACGGCTTTCTTTCTTTTTTTGTTTTTCATTTTCTTCTACCTCGCGCGTGCTCGCGTTTTTCCTCATTTGAATGCTAAGCCCCGCCCCAAAACAGTGTCGTGGTTTGACGATATCACGACTATCACGTGCTCTATTAGTACATCATGAAATGAAGAAATAAAAGTGTTTTTTTTCGGTTTAATAATATATCTTAGTAAATGTCAGGATAAATAAATGCTCATAAAACAAAAGAAAAGGAAAGTAACAACAGATATTATATAATAAAGCCATCTCTAAAGCTTCTTTTTTAAGAAAAAAAACTACATGACAAAAGCTTCTTTTTTTAAAGATACATTAATTCTACATTCATGTTTAATAATTATTCTATAAATTTAATTAGTGTTTTAGTAAGCAAATAAGGCAAAATAATAGTTCTGATATAAGTATTTAATATAAAAAATGTTTAGACAGAAAAGTTCAGGAAAATTAGAACTTTAAATTCTTTTTTATTAAGACAATTTTTTATATTTTAATTTAATAATATGCTAGTAAGCAAATAAGTAAAATTAATAGTTATAAAATGAGTATTTAATGGAAGAACTAGTAAACAGAAAACTTATTTCAGGAAAATTAGAATTTTTAATGCACTAATTTCGAATTTTCCATTAATAAGTCTTTTATAAATTTAATAAGTGTTCTAGCAAGCAAATGAGATAAAGCAATTGTTCTTAAATAAGTATTAAATTATGAAATAAGGAAATTTACAATTTTAAATCAATAATTCTACAATTTTGACTCATATTGTATAAATTGAATAAAGTTCTATTAAGCTAATAAGATAAATAGTTCTGAAATTAGAATTTTAAACGCAATAGTTCTAAAGTTTTAATTCATAAGTATATACGCTGATGTTTTAATACATTTGTGACTACCAGTACATATTGTTTTAAGGTAATTCATCTGTATTGAATTTTTAAGATGTTAGGTTTCTTAACATTAAAATGGGTACCTAAAAACAAGAAGTTCTTACAAATATTATTGTATTTCTGCTATTACTTCTATAAATTAAAACCCTGATGTAGACAACAAGATGTTTTTCTCTATTGTGGTAGTACCGAGTAGGAATTAAGGAAAATTGAAAAAAGTACCCAACTGAAAACATCACAAAGGAACAGTTTGTAAAAATGTCCATTTTCGAAAAAGCATGGCGAGAAGGCATTGTATTGATGTTTACATAAGAAAAATTATAGCTTTCCACCATTTTTGCTAATTTTGGCAAAACATAAAAAAACAGGGATTTTTGAAAATATTAATGATTAGTATTTCTTTTTAAATGATGCTTTATTTATTTTATTTATTTATATTTTTAAATTCTGTGTTATGCAGCAAAATCGGTCACAACTCCTCTACGGGCAAGAACGTCTGCTTTTCCTGCATTGTGTTAAGGTTGCTTCTCTGCCGAGCAAACGGGTTTCCGCTTTCTGAAAAATCTGAGTATAGAGGAAAAACTATTTAAGGCTGTTCTTCGAAAGCTCCGTCGTAACATGAAATGATGCTTTTTCGCGAATAATATGCTATTTTTATAACTGCCGTGAGTTTACAACTGTTAAGTCAAGTTTAGCTTATCGACAGTCAGCGCTGTCTACGCTTATTTTTTTGAAAATGGTGCAAAACGTCAATACGGTGAAAAGTCACAGTTTTGTGAAAATTAAAAGCGCTTGCGCTCTAATTTTTTAATATCTGAACTACTCCAAACTAACTATTTAAAACTTACTCCAATGCTGCATTACTTGGGCACATAAAAATTTGCCAATACTGAAGATAAGGCAGTGATTTTGATAATTTTCATTCAGGTGGAAAAATGTCGCCAAATTTTCGGTCTTTAAAAAGTTTACTAAATTTTAAAATCTTAATATTACTTATTTGTTCTAAAGCCCAGGTATTTCTTCACGGCAAGATTATATACTTGTATATAGTTTAAAATCATCGTATTGCTTCAAATGTAAAGGCACTTAAACTATGTTTTTTTTTTATTTCCCTTGGCGACAGAGCTTCGAAAAAAAAATTAACTTCATCGTTTGCTGAGGGGTCATAAGTTCATTGAATTTGCCATTTGTTCCAGGATTTAATGTATCCCTGATAGAATCGATTATAAAATGAGTGATTCAAATATGTATAAAGGGAAAACTATAAAGAAATGTTTGAGCAACGTTCTAAAATAACAGTGTAAACATTAGTGATTTCATGTCTAGGTTAAAGATTTTTTTCGCTGCACAATTTAGCAGAGCGAAAACTATTAGCAAAAGATATATGATTTATTGCAGTCACATTTCACCGTTTTTTTCTTCTTCTTTTTTCTTCAAATTTTGAATTGGTCAAAATTTTAAAATATTGCGGTTGCAAAATCTTGTCATTTTTAACCCACCTCAGAAGACAAGGGAATTCTGGAATCGAGCATTGTGTGAAACTTATTTCCCATAAGACTATGTTAAACTACACTAACATTAACAAATTACTAGTATCATTACGCAATTATATTACTAGATTACTACTACATTAACATAAACTCACATTAACGTTTCATAACGAGGAAAACCACGAAAGCCACTCATGGTGAGCCCGACAGCTTTAATGCAATGCGATTGCTTTACGATAGATTTCGAGAAAAGTGGCTTAACAAGTATTGTCTCTCTGTTCCTCATAATATGAACGGTAAAATAGAATTTCAAAAAACTAATAAAACGAAATTTGTTTTTGAAAAAATTTATTTTTGAAACAAATAGTTACAGAACACAGAAATGCCTAACATATAAAAGTCGCGATTTTGAATTTTTTTATCGCTTACGTGGATTGTTTTGCACGGTAGTATACAGTCTGACTTCATTACTTTTTATTTTATTATTATTTTATATTTAGGATTAGGGGATTCAATTAATAATGTATGTAAATTAATATAGAGATTATTTAAATTTTCTTCGGATCTGCCATCTGTAACAAAAAAAATCCTTTTTTTTCTTAAATTTTTTCACCACTGAAGTAAGAATTACGTGCATTTTGTTAATTTTTTTTCTATCTTTCTTTCTGAGACTTTGTTCTCAATTTTCTTAATTAAAATTAACTGTAGTATCACGTGGGAAATGTTGAAAAAATGCTTATATTTTCAGCCGTCTTAAGCATATTTCATGTATTGTAACTGAAATCATAGAACGTTTTAACGAGACATTATAAAAATAGTTAAAATATAAACCTCCGGCGAATATCAGTAACTAAACTTTTAAAGATTTCCAATTTATCATCCCACTTTATTATCTTGTTATCTTGTCACTAATATCATCCCACTTTATTATCTTGTTTTTTTTTTTTTTTTTTTTTTTTTTTTTTTTTTTTTTTTTTTTTTTTTTTATCGTTTTATTGGTAATCCGCCCAACTATTGGTCAGAGAGGCGAACGGAGCATACGAAGTAAAAGAAAAAAGTTTTGGGGATAGACGAAAGACAACGAGCAGTATTTAAAATGAACATTTAAATAGCTAATATTTAAAATAAATTTTAAAAAGTCAAAAACATGAAAGCTAGAGTTTTGAAATAAAATTAACGTGCCATGAGCTAGCAGGCAGCAGCGCCCCAGTATTCTTCAAAATTAATATTTTTTTTAATCTCCGTTTATAGCTCCACAATCCTTTTAATCCTTGCAGATGTACATAAAATTCCTAAATACATTCTTTAGGTGTTTTAGCCGTAAAGGATTAAATTGCGAATAATTAATTATATATCAGCATATGCAGGAAAAAAATGAGTTTTGTGAGTTTGAGTTCTTAATCCTAAATTCTATTGTTCGGTTTCCAAAATTTCAATGTGTTGTATTTCATGCGTGTGTAAACTGTTAAAACTATATTTTGCTAAGTTTTTATGAAAACTTCGAATTTGATGCAATTTCGTTATTAAGGGTGCGTAGCCAAATTTTTCAACCAAAAATAAGCACCTTTTAAGCACTTTTCAAGCACTCAAAAATATTTCTAAGCACTCTTAAAAAATACAATTAGGCAGGGTTGGCAAGTTTTTGATAACTGACGGTTTTATCCGGATTTAACCGTCATGTCGAAAAGAAAAACTTTTAGCATAGTTTTTGACAACTGTCGAAAATCATGAATTTTTGAATCGTAAAACGAATGGCATCTTCATACGCTAAGGACCGACGGTACGCCGAAATAGATAGGGTTTGAATTAATTGTGAAAACGTTGAATAGAACAAACAATATGAACAGTGTCTTTTTGCATAATATGTGGCGAAAATCAACAGGGTAAAGGAAAAATTAAGCACCTTTTAAAAAACCCCAATGAAAAAAGCACCTTTAAGGGTTTTTAAAAGACGTAAATCGAAAATAAGCACCTTCAAGCACTTTTTAAAAACGCTACGCACCATGCTATTTCATTTCGAATAATAAATATTTAATTGAGATTATTTAATGTTCCAATTATATGTATACTCCAGTCAAAGTTTCAAAAAAAAAGAAAAAAAAAGGAAATAATAATAGTTGAAACACCATCAGCGCACGAACGTTTTTTATGCATCCAATTTGCGTTATTTCTGTTGACAAAGCGTTAATAATAGCGCAACCATTCCCATCCTTTTGTTATTTACAGTTTTTTCTTCTTTACATACTCCTCTTTATTAAATATTGCTTAAGCGGGGTTTTAACGTAACTTTCCAAGAAATGTACTCACATTTGATCCCTCATTTTAATGAAAACCGTAAACAAAAAAAGAATAACCAAAACTTCAACTAAAGGTTGCATAATATCCTGCACAGCCAATTTCCTAGAACACGTTTAAACGAAACGACCTTCAAATTTATTCCAATACTTGCTTAATTACAATGTGATTTTCGAAAGTTCAACCCTTTAAGTAAAGCGATCGAAAACACTTCCAGCAAATCGAACCGGCTATAGGTTTTTTCTCAGGTGTGAAAATCTGACCTTGAAAATAAATAAATAAAAATATTTAATTAATTCGCA